GGGGGCTGGGGAGAGGTGCAGACCCCCAGCGCCAGCGCCAGGCGGGCCCCAGTGCCCCTTCGCGCTGAGGCTGAGCCCGAGGGGCGGAGAGCCTGGTCAGCGACTGGCTGGCTGCCGCGGGCTGGGCACGGGCGAGGCATGCCACTGCCTGAGGTGGTTCCTAGAGTTGGCCTGTGATGGGCGACTCGGTGCGTTCAAAAGTCAGGACAGAGAACGGGAGCGGAGGGAGCGGAGGGAGCGGAGGGCAAAACCCTGGGGTTTTGAGGGGCGGCCACGTGGAGCAGGAGGAGGGCATGGAGAGGGGCTGATGCAAGCCTGGTGGGGTCTGGTGGCTGGAGACTGGCAATCCCTTCAGGTGGATTTAAGTTCCTCTGTGACGCCACAGCACCAGGTGGGGGGGTCACATTGAATAAAGTGGGGTTCCCGCATGCAGCCTCCCGCAGGTGTGACCCTCAGGCCTGCAATCCTCCTGCGTCACTTTGGTCAGTCAGGGTCTCACCAGCTGGGAGGCTTGCAGCTGCAAGGGCACAGGGCATGTGGGTGCTCAGGCCCCCCAAGGTAGCACGCGTGCCTGACTGGGGTGTCAGCGCACACGACTCACTGTGGAAGTGGCCTTTCAATTTGCCTTTTTTGGTGCTTTTCTAAAATGAGAAATGTAGGGACCCATAAAGCCAAAGGCTTCGTCTCCTGGCGCTGCCACCGTTCTGTTCCAGGAAAACTGTTGCATTTTCCCGAGAGAGCCAGCGGGCACCTTTCAACTTCCAGCTTGCTGGTAAGAGGAAGGTGTTTATGCAGCTTTTTCTGCTTGGTTTAAGAGGTGCAATTCTCAAGGTAGGCACTAAAAAAAGTGCACTCTCTATGGGCATGCCACTATAATTCAGAAATATATTCTGACATTCCTGGGGCAGTCTGTGCCCAAGGCAGGGAGACCCGTTGAGGGGCTACTGAAAGAATTCTGGCATCAGACGAGGGTGGGGAAGCCAGGTGGTGACAGCGGGTCTGGAAGGCTGTGTCAGCAGAGCGAACGTGGTAGGTGAGAGCCCAGGACCCAAGGAGGG